CAGTGACAATGAAACCGACTGGGAGATGCCTGATGGAGGACTTAAAAGCGAGGAATCAGAATTTGCATTTAATCTGACAGTCTTGTGAAACCCTGCTCTGAATTCTTCGCAGGGAAGTGATGTGATGGAAATCGCGTTTTAGGACAATTCATCTGACAGCAGTGTATGGGATGTGCTCATGCGTGGAGATCCCCAGGACTAAGCAGTTACTGAAGTAAGCCAAGCAGGAGGAACTGATAAGAGGAGGGTAAAATGGGGCTGAGAGGTAGGCTCTGAGGTGCCGGGAAGGATAAAAGCGACTTTGTGATTGAGTGGATGCAGAGGATGGTAGCAAGGAACTCTTGAGAGAACTGGGAAAAGTGGAACCAAAATGGTAAACGTGTTTGTGAGAGAAAATAGGTTCTTTCTCTCTTTCCCACCCTCCCTCCCTTTCTCTCTTTCTTTGTTTCTTTCACTTTAAAGTTTTTGTCTTTACTTATTTAAATTCAATTAGTTAACATGTAGTGTATCATTACTTTCAAAGGTTGGGGTCACTGATTCATCAGTCTCAAATAATACCCAGTGCTCATTACATCACGTGCCCTCCTTAATGCCCATCACCCACTTACCCCATCAATCCCCCTCCAGAAACCCTCAGTTTGTTCCCTATAATTAAGAGTCTTTGTCTCCCTCTCTGATTTTGTCTTATTTTTCCCTCCCTTCCCCTATGATCCTCTGTTTTGTTTCTTAAATTCCACATATGAATGAAACCATATGATAATTGTCTTTCTCTGATTAACTTTTTCACTTAGCATAATACCCTCTAGTTCTATCCACATTGATGTAAGTGGTAAGATTTCATTCTTTTTGATGGCTAATATTCCATTGTACATGTACACCACATCTTTATCCATTCATCTGTTGATGGGCATCTGGGCTCTTTCCATAGTTTGCCTATTGTGGACATTGCTGCTATGAACATTGGGGTGCAAGTGCCCCTTCAGATCACAGTGTTTGTATCCTTTGGGTGAATACCTAGTAGTGCAGTTGCTGGGTCTATATTTTTAACTTCTTGAGGAACCTCCATACTGTTTTCCTGAGTGGCTGCACCAGCTTGCATTCCTATCAACAGTGTAGGAGGGTTCCCCTTTCTCCTCATCCTCGCCAACATCTGTCGTTTCCTGACTTGTTAATTTTAGCCATTCTGACTGGTGTGAGGTGGTATCTCATTGTGATTTTGATTTGGATTTCCCTGATGATGAGTGATGTTGAGCATTTTTTCATGAAAGCGTTTTTTTTTTTTTTTTAAGCACTCTCTGCATCTAACATGGGGCTTGAACTCTGAGATCAGGAGTCGCGTGCTCTTCCAACGGAGCCAGCCAGGTGCCCCAGTATGTGCTTTCTTTTTGACATCTCCTATTGCTGGCTTTATAAGAGAGAGTAGGGAAGTGTTTGGAGACATGGACGGGCTCTGGGAGAGTTTCCATGAAGGAAGAGAGCACAGGCAAGGAACTCGGCAGCGGGAAGGAAGATGGGGTACAGGAAATGGAACGGACAGAGGAACTGGAGTCAGTAGAGCAGTTGCCCAGTGTGTTTCCCAGGAAAGGCTGGTTGTCTAGACTGTTAACAGATATTTGTAGAAAAAAAGGGTGCCATGATCAGATAAATTTGGTAAACTCTGGGTTAAGCAAAGTCAGTGAGACGTCTTGTTTTAATACCTCTCAGATTCTATAATTAATGTGCATCATCATTTATATCTTCAACTAAGATCTGTCTCTTCAGTTATAGATTCATGTGTTCATGAATCATTTCAACCTGACATCTCCATTTGGATATCTATTAGACATCTGAAACTTACCAGTTCCAAATGAAATTCCCAGTCTTTCCCCACAAAACTGGTTTCCCTATCTCAGTTGATGGCAACCTCATCTTTTTCTCTTAGTAAAAAATGCCATGGTAAATGATGTATGAATCGTTCTGTTTAATGTATAAAATGCCCAAAGGAATTGAGATTAAAATTAGAGGTGCTCAGATCAAAAACTTTGGAGTCATCTCTGACTCTTTCTTCTATACTCTCAACCAATCATCAGGAACCACATTGGCTCTACCTTCAAATATATCTAGAATCTGAGCACTCCTCATCTCAAGTGATCCTATTAAAATCTTACCACTCTTTTTCAGTAGTAGCTTACCATTTCACTGGGGATAGATCCATCAGTCCTTCTGGTAACCTGCATGGCCTTTTATGATCTGACTTTTTTTTTTTTAAGATTTTATTTATTTATATGCCAGAGAGAGAGAGAGAGCACAAGTAGGCAGAGCGGCAGGCAGAGGGAGAGGGAGATGCAGGCTCCCCGCTGAGCAGGGAGCCCCATGCGGGGCTCAATCCCGGGACCCTGGGATCATGACCTGAGCTGAAGGCACTTAACAGACTGAGCCACCCAGGCGTCCCTGTGATCTGATTTCTTACTGACTTTCTGATTTCCCATTCTCTTCCTCCTTCATTCACTTTTTTTTTTTTTTTAAAGATTTTACTTATTTGAGAGAGAGAGAGAACATGAGTAGAGGGAGAGGGGCAGCAGGTGAGAGAGAAGCAGGCTTCCTGCAGAGCAGGGAGCCCCACATGGGGCTCCATCCCAGGACTCTGGGATCACCACCTGAGCCAAAGGCAGACATTTAACGACTGAGCCACCCAGGCACCCCTTTCATTCACTCTTGGCTTCTTTCTTTGCTCTCTTCTAGCCCTGGCTTTAAGCACTTGATGAGCTTTGGGCTTTTGCACTAACTGTTTACTGTACCTGTGACATCTTTGCCCAGATATCTATATGGCTAACTCACCAGATGTCATCCTCTTTAGAAGAGACTGACCCTGGTTGCCATATTTAAAATAGAATGTGTTTCTGTAATACTTTAAGCTCCATGAGTGTAGGGATTTTTGTCTTTTTTGTTCCCTGAGGTTGCCTAAGCACCCAGAGCAGTGCCTTAGACACTTAATAGGCAGCTAATAAGTATTTGAGTGAATGAGTGAATGAAAATTCAAGGTGCCAATATATATTCCCTCCAAAACCTTTTACCCTCGTGGAGATCTCTTCATCCTAGGTTTCCCAAGGACACATTTTGGGAAATGGTGTTATGATAGCTTACAGAATTCCAAGGAGCAGAAAATTCCAAGAAAGAGGGTATGGACACATCTGGAGAGTTGAAGTTTTGACTTGCGTAAACTAATGAGTAGATTTTGATAGGAGACATAATTTGCAATCTTGGAACAAGCTGTTTCAGTGCTGCAAAATGTCAAATTCAGGGGACTAAAGTTGGCTCTAGATGTTGAAGAAGGTTGGGATAAATGATCCATTCAGAGACTTTAGTTGGAGGAAGGGGAGGAAAGTACGAGAGCCATGCATTCAGCACAGGGCACCTCCATTTGTGAGAGCAGGAGAGCTTGGTTTTGCTGCTTGTTATTTTTATAAGGTAACCTGGATTACCTGGATTTTTTTTTTTTTTTTT